CCCCAGTGTTCCTCCCTTCCTGAGGCTTGGGTAGAAACTACATTTTTAGCTAGAAACCTGATTGAGCATAAATAGCGGGCTGCCCCTTTCCCTAAGGCTCGATGTCTCAGACGAGAGGTGGCTCTTGCCCTGAATACTTTCTCACCTCAATGCGTATTTGGCCCCCAACCATTGCTTTGGGTGGGCACGGAATGTACAATTCAGTGCTTTTGTATTCCCAGACAAGTCTGCTTTTAATCAACCGTACTCCGAGGCATGTACGGCTTGTTTGGCTTGGGCGAGTATCGATTCGGAATTCGATCCCTGGACCATGCCTGTGTGATACTGCTTCGCTTGCTGCTACACCTTTCCGCACTTTTTACGCTCATTATTAGTTTGTAGATATGCCCTGAAATAATGGTTCATTCTGGGAAAAGGGAACGTTAGATTCGATTACTAGGTCACATCAAGGTCATCGCGTGCGACAAGCGCGACCGCTTTGCAAAAGGAATGGTTGGTAGTGGTCTACATTTCAGGCTATGCAGCTCTCCCAGACTGGCTTTATGGTGGGGTTCAGAGCAAAAGGAGTGTCTTTCAGTAGGATGGCAAGAGATTAAGTAAATTGTGGAACGGAAAAGTTAGGGGATAATCAAGTGCCGATAAAGTTGGACATGATTTCCGATGGCTCTTTGCTTCCAACTTACTTGGTGTCTTTATCGAGTACGAAGACAGTAACTCTTGATAAGTAAGTTATGCTGCTAGAATTCACAGCAAAGCCTTGAAAGCTTATCAACAAAATGTTTGAAAACCTTCACCTCGAAAAAGAATTCAAAATTTTCCCAATCCGGTACGTAGCGGTGGTGATACTGTTCTATGTGGGAATCACTTCAATATAAAATGGATACCAATTAACAGACAGAGATGGTGTACTTGATTTTCCAAACAGGTTTCGGACTGAATTTTGGTCTTCTTACTTCGGACAACCGTGTCATTTCTTACTGCCTAACCTTCGATCATACTAGCATTTGAATTCGCAAAAACCCGTTATGTCAGTCTTGAAGACTTGAGTCATTGAACATTAATCAATCCCTTCAGAGGGTGCGCCTCGCATTCGACTTCCATTCAGAATTGTAGTGGCGTAAGGAATGCGTATGCGGCTGATACGGTGACTTGCGGTGGCCTCCCTATGTACGAGTCGGTGCATTTATCCTCCCACTCGAGTCTCGTACCAATTAACCGATTCTGGAGGGATGGTAGGCGTGATGGGCCTAGGCTGACATAGATCCAGGATTCGAACTCGTGTACATACGCGTGTGATAATGCCCCACTTGTCACTACGCCACCTCTGCCCTCCCTACCTCATATAATCAACCTCACTTAGTGGGTTTCATGAAGGAATGAAGGAAATTCTCTAATTGAAATTGGACTAACCGATATTGCTAGATATCGGTTAGCCGTTGTTTCTCTCCTCCCCAAGGCTTCAATCAGACTACACTAAAGTTACTCAAACCCTCAAATCGCGCCGTGCATTCGATTTTCGGTTGAAATTGAAGACTTTGCCATCCCAGCTTCTCCAAAAAGCGCTTCGAAGATTTTTTCAAATAAATATTTTTACATTACTCAATATTTCAATGCTATCAAAAGGATCCTTAGANCGGTTAGCCGTTGTTTCTCTCCTCCCCAAGGCTTCAATCAGACTACACTAAAGTTACTCAAACCCTCAAATCGCGCCGTGCATTCGACTTTCGGTTGAAATTGAAGACTCTGCCATCCCAGCTTCTCCAATGAAAAGCGCTTCGAAGATTTTTTCAAATAAATATTTTTACATTACTCAATATTCCAATGCTAACAAAAGGATCCTTAGATCTCTTGTATTTTAGCTTCCACTTGATTGCAAAAATGCTATTGACGCCGATGCGGTCATTGATAGGATACATCCATTGAAGGTACTATCAGGAACTTTCTGGTTTTATTTTGTATTTTTATGGCCACCGTCCATCGAAAATTTTTGTCACTTCCTTATCGCTCATCGTGGACTATAAATGCTGCCCCAGGGATACCTGCGAATTTTAGTAAGGCGACAAGAGTTCTAGCATAGATTACACTTCGTCATTTTTTCACCTTTTACTGCTCTGAATTCTCTATTAGGTCCTGAGCATCTTATTTCCTGCATGTAAGCCTGCCTAAGGTATCAAGTGACTTGAAATGTCCACAGCTTACTACATATGTAATTTCAAGAGTGAGACAACCATCGCTTCGAGGCACAAGTGGTGGGGTTTACGAGAGCTGAATCTGAAAAATAGGACCTTTCTGGTAGATCTCATGATGGGTAAGTGTTAGCTTACTCGCTATAGCGATGTGCTTTCAGGATGTCGATGGGTTAACACGAGAGAATGCTGGACGCCTGATGCGTGGTGAATTGAAGCGAACGATTTTCCCATGTACTCCTTACGGATGCTTGTATCTTGTTCAGAAAGCTACAGGCAAGTGAATCGCTACTATTAAGTAACTGAATACGTCCTAGCATGCCGTAACGGCTCAGATGAAGGTTGATCTGATATCCGCTGGCCAAGTTGAGAAAGATTTCGCATGTGTTGTTGAACATCACCAGTGTTTTTTAATTCTTACTTATTTTCCCTCCTTAAGGAGATGACAACTATGTCTGTGGCAAGAATGTGGTTGTGCTGGGACGGTCGAAGATTGTTGGCTCACCTGCGGCTGCGTTGTTCTTGTGGCATCACGGAACGGTCACCATCTGTCATTCAAAAACGCGAGATATAAAGGAGCAATGCTTGAAGGCAGATATTCTGGTGGTGGCCATTGGAAAGAAACATTTCGTCAAAGGTAATTCAATGAAAGCTTGCACTAGTCTTACACTTCGTATATAATAGCCCTCTAGATAATTCTGTGTCTAGCCTAGGTAGAACAGTAGAAGGTATGGTGCAGAATAATGCAAAAATAGCAAATCAACCGCTGAGAAAATGTCGGATTCGAGAAGTATAAGGCCTAAAAAGTAATAAGAAGGAGGATTGTACGAGATTAAGCATCTGTGACCGTCTGGGTGCCTCCCACTAAGCGTACTATTTGTCGGTGTTCTAACGCTTCACTGTGAATGGTACATCCTTGACAAGGACATGGCCACTTTTGGGGCGTGCGTCGACCGTGTGTCGTTCTGGAGCCCCACAGCACTCCGTCGATATCGTTTTCGACCTCACGATGTCCCTCGGGGGCCACGAGTTCATCCTGGGAGTGAATATCAGGAACCATTTTTGTCATGAACTGTGCCTTCAAGATCTGCAACATCATCTTTTTGAAACAAGTACCCAAGAATATTCAGTTCCGGCTGATGATCCGAGAGGAGAAGGAATTCCCCAATGATTGCAGGTGACTGGATCAAACCAGGAGCAGTAGTGATTGATTGTGGCATCAATGTCGAGGAGGCAACTGAACCAGGGAAGAAGAACAAACTCTTCGGTGATGTCGATTTTGAGGAAGCAAAGAAGGTCAATTTGGGACTTGAGTCTTTCATCAGAATTAGCTTGACAGTTTCCAAAACTATTCCAAATAATCACTTTCAGGTCGCCAGCTTCATTACCCCTGTACCAGGAGGTGTTGGTCCAATGACGGTCGCTATGCTGATAAGAAACACCTATGAACAAGCTGTAGCAAGAAGATTACAGCAGAATGGCAAAACTGAATCGTTGAATTCGCAGATGAGACAGGCTGCTGTTTGATTCCGTCATTGCTCAGAGTTCTATTCCTTGGAGAGTTTATCCAAAAAGTATAAAATGTTCGACAAACGATCCTTCAAAAACCTGAAAACTGAAAACTTNTTTGATACCGTCATTGCTCAGAGTTCTATTTCTTGGAGAGTTTATCCGAAAAGTATAAAATGTTCGACAAACGATCCTTCAAAAACCTGAAAACTGAAAACTTTTGCAACTATGTAATAGTGACTTCAAATCAGCATGTTTCCGAAACCCACCCTTCTAGTGGGAAAGGTGGCCGGGAACATCCAGCTCTGTCTGGGTGAGTAATGTGCTAACCATCGTTTTCGTTATCAGGCCTCACAGTATTGTATGAAATGTGCTGCATGGTATGACATCAAAGCTGTACTCTTACGCCATGTACAGCAGCGGATTGGCTCACCACCTGAGAAACGACCGTTTATCTTCCTGATCCAACCGAAAAAAATAGCACATACCGTATGTGGAAATATTTTGTATCCCTGACAAATGAAAACGAAACGCTGATAAAGCCGAATATGTGAAGCACTCGTAAGTAGTGATGAACCCTAAAACCCACGGATGATTAAAATTAATAGGTCGATGCATAATTACTGCGGATTTTTTTTGCGGCTCCTTTTCCCTCGAATCAATTCGAATGTAGAATTTATGAAATAATGGAAGTAATCTTCATAATTTGCTCTATAGTAATATATCTTGAAAGCCATCTTCATATACGCCACATTATGCCCTATTATACTTCGAGAAAGGTTGGAAGGTGACACAGTCAT